GACACAGGCGAGTTGAAGTACGTACCTGGAGCTTACTTGTCAATCAGATATGAGTAAACCTTTTCTCCTGCCTGTCTGCCTGCCTGCCTGCACATCTGTCTGTCTGTCTGCTTGTCAAAGGTACCGGACGGACGCTGTCCTGATGTTTTTCTGTGCGGCTGATCGACTACCTTACCATGATCGACCAACAACGACGGGGATGACGAGACGAGACGAGCTGGTCGAGCCGGCCGAAGCGGCCTCCATTGTCTGAGCTGCACGTGTGATGAAGAACGGCTCCTTGGAAGTACCTTCGTGGTGAGAGGTAAATGGCTGCTCGCCGGGATTTGCCCCTTCTTTTGGCTCTGCACGCTGTGACGCGCCGACTGGCTGTGTGGTGGTGGGTGCGTGGTGACGGAGACAGCGCTGCTAGCCATTCTTTTTGCCGACTGCGCGAGAGCAGAGAGGGACTCGTGAAGAGATCGTGATAGACGAACGGGGAGACTGCGCGTGTTTTGTGCTGCGCCCTCAAGAGGGAGACAGGAGAGTACGTGGAGGTAGACGAGGGATTGGCTGAATGTCGTGCTGATTTGTTCGTCGTCTGAGCCAGAGCGGGAAGAGTCACCGAGTGCTAGGTTTGGGTTCTGAGGGTTTGGCAGTGTCTGTTCATGCGTCTACCTGCGTTAGGTTCACAATTAGTCGTGTCCGAGGAAACGACAGTTCTTGGAAAGGCGTCTGCACTCAACGAGCATTTGTAGATCAATACGGTTGCTCCATGTGTGCTGTCATCCGATGCCGCAGCTGCGCCTAAGGAGTGTTTCTACGTTTGTTTAGCGGCTGAAGTGTAGAGAGAAGACGTTGCTCTCCTTTCCCTTGTGAGACTGGACGAGGCGCCACCTCCTCTCCCCATAGAACAAGCATTCTGTATTTCAATGGTGCCGACAGGTGGTTGACTCCGGAAGAGGAGCGTCATGAATACGGACGGATACCGCTCCAGAACTGCCAAGATGGGCTAGCCAGTCCAGAACCCGCACGCCACGATCCAACGTCTGTACTGGCAGTGTTGCAAAGCTCGCGAAAGTGGGGGATGGCATTGGGGGCGATGACTTGGTCGTCTGCACTTCGTATTCTGTACGAGTTGGACGGCGAAGACTGTCTTCTGTGCCCGAGCAAGAATGATGGTGAAAGAAATGAGGCCGTTTCATAGCGATTCGCCCTCAGCTGCGCTCATCAGCGAGAATGAGACAGGACTCGACGAAATGAGCGTCTAGAAGTTTCTGCTGCCACGAGCGGACGCACATGCCTCGTCGCCATGCTTTGGCTGCCACGGAGCAAACGCTGTGCCACGGTGATCTGGGGAGCAAGGGAGACAGCCTTATGGACCGACTGCGAGGAGCGCTATCGCTTGCCCGTCGTCGTCAGATGGTTGGCTGTTGCGGGGCACCAAATTTCAGGCTGAGATGTGCGGTATGAGGACGGCGAATAGACTATCGTCGCTCACGAATGCCGAGTCTGCGAATCCTTTGGCGCTCAATGTTGGCGCTGCCGAGAATTGAACATCGCTCGACCCGCATCAGGCCTGCGGCTGAGAGACTTGGACGCCTCAGGCGCCACGGAAGAGGCTCAAAGGAAGGCCTAGGGTCGTGTTTCTCCCGCTGGGAGATGCATAGACCAGGGGTCAGCCAGAGCCCCAGCACGGATAAGCGGCCAGCGAGAGATGCACCGGGCCGGAAGGATTGCAGGGCAGGTCGGGAGCGGTCAAAGAATTTGTTGTTGAGCGAGCGGAATAAGCCAAATTGCTTCGAGAGAGGGAGGTGGTGTCTTGAGGTCGGAGATTTGGCTGCCACTGAAACACCTGCCCCCTGCGACTCGGGCCGCCCGCGGCGACAGGGTCTGCCCGACAAGCCAATGGCTTCCTCCCACAACACCATCCCGCAGCATCGCGACGCAGCCGTCCACCACACCACGGCAGCGCCTCGCCGTTTTCCTGCTCCCGTTGTTGCAGCCCGATGGTGCACCTGGCGGTTCCTGTTGATCCCCATGTGCGATGCGAGCGATTTGCCGGCACGCGTCGATGATGTCCTGTCCTTGGCGAGATGAGCAGAGACGGTGGCCATTCGGTGGTCCGACGACGGTCTGAGAGCCCCCGCCAGATATCTCGTTGATCAAGCTGACCGCCTGGTGTAGGAACACTCGATTTCGATGCCATCGACGGCCTCGTCGCACACAGCTTGCCGTCACCAGCCATGTCGCACCCAGGGGCCTGTCATATCCATCGGGACCCTGCGCTGCCCGGCGGCTAACCTGTTCCTGATGCTGGGCCCTCCATCATCACCGCCGCGGCGCTGGGTCCCCATCCGTTGCCAATATCTATCCTGTCCCTCCCTCGCCCTCTCTTTTTCGCTCGCTGCTTTCCTCGCTCTCTGGACCCAGGTCACCACACTCGTTTTTGCCCTCCTTGCGTCTGTCGCTCTTTGAGGATTCGCCCACGCTTTGATTTGCAAAATGCACTTTTCAACCCTCTTCTCCGCCGCCTCGCTGGCCGTCCTCGCTGCCGCCTCTGAGCCCAGGCACTTCAAGGTCCTGCCTCGTCAGTACTCCAACTCGAGCGTTGCTGCTCTGGACGTCACCTCGTACACCACTTCGACCGTCTACAGCACCCTTCTCTCGACAATCACCGAATCTGGCACTGAAAAGGTCGTCACGGCCACCGTCGACGTTTACACCACCGTTTGCCCCGTCACCGCCGCCGAGGCCTCTGCTTCTGCAACTCCTGCCTCTACCGCCAGCGATGTCGCTGCTCTCGAGGCCCCATCGGTCCCTCTCGGCACTGGCTCATCTCCTAGCCCCAGCGCCCCGGATGCCAGCCCCGTAGCCCCCGGCACTACCCTCGTTACCAAGACGATCGACAGGACCTTGACCTACACTCTCGGCACGGCTTCCAAGACTGTCGTCACCACTACGATCCAAACCACCAGTGTTGAGACCATTGTCGAGACTGTGTACGCCTCCAAGCCGGCCAGCATCGTTGCCGCCGAGGTTTCTAGCCCTGCCGGCGCCGCCTCCAGCCCTACCACGACCATTTCGTCGACTTCTACTATTACCAAGTACATTACCGTCCGCCCGACCACGACCCCTGGCTCCGTCGCGTCCAGTGGCGCCGTTGCCGCCGAGGCGGCCACTTCTGGCTCGAGCTGCGTTGGCAAGACTGTCACCGTCACTGCCCCGGCCGAGACTGTCACTGTGGTACGTTTCTTTTCCATGTTGAGCATTCACTTCTAACGCATTCAGACTGTTGTCCCCTCTGGCTCGTCCGTCCAGGTCGCCGACGTCAGCTCCGCGGCCCCAACCACCATCATGACGACGAGCACCGTCTACAAGACGACCTTGTCGACCATCACCGAGTCGGGCACCGAACAGGTCGTCACGGCCACCGTTGACGTCTACACGACCGTCTGCCCCGTCTCCGCCGCCGAGGTCTCGGCCACCCACACCCCCATCCAGGCCAACTTCAGCCCCTACTACCCCGTCCCATCCAGCGAGGGCGCCCCCGCCCCCTTCCCCAGCGCCGGCTTCCGCACCCTCCAAAAGGGTGTCGCCGCCCCCAGCGGCTTCGGCGCTAGGAAGCTCTAAATCTTTCCTGTTGAATATTGAACGCAGACGCCTGTTATGACGCCCAAGGGTAGCTGGTGGAGTGGATACTGGTCTTTTTCGTTGTTTTGCTTTGCTCTCTTCACTTCTTGGGCCCCGCCTGTCGGGTGGCCCCCTCTTTACTGTACAAAAATCATCCACATCTCTTCTGACGCTCGAAAAGTCGGCGGTACAAACACTCGGCTGGATCTTTTTGTAAAACCCTTTTCCTTCTTCTTTGTCGTTGTTGTTGCTGAGCGAGCGCGCGCGCTCTTTGTATTCTTAATCCCCGCTGGTCGCGCGGTGATGTTTGTCGTCTGGCGCGACCTTTTTTTTTTTTGGCTTTGCATCGCATTGCATCGCATTGCATAACATGGATACATGGCATATTCCGTGGGCATCTTGATCATCTCTTGTATGTATGTATGTTGATGTACAGCACAGCACCCACCCATCTTCCCATCCTTCATGATCTTATCCTCGTCTCTTTCCTGCCCTCTTGCATCGCCGCAAGAATTGTCAGTCCATCTTCATCTGCGAGGCGCGACTCTTTCTTCTGACAGGCGCGCCTGCTAACCGTTCCGTTTTTTCTGTCCTTGTGTTCGGCGTGCGGATATAAGTAAGCTTATTTTTAAGCTTGAGCTTATTCTGCACAGGAGCTGGGATGTCGGTGGTGGCGAACGACAAGGGTGCGTCGGGCGGACATGGACATGAGAGGAGCAGAGGAAATGCTCGAGCCTTTTCAACACCGCAACGGCTCTTTCTCTGCTCCGGCCTCGGGCTTTGTATACCACATTCGCCGCTCTCGTCTGCATCAATCGTCTGTTGTGGTGCAGTGGTAGCCCGCCTGGCCAAATAGTACGCACGCCGCATGTCCTACGGGAATGCCGCCATGTCTGTTAAGCTGACGAGGCGCGTTGCGTGGTGCGGCATTGCCTGCCTGGAGACCCGAGGTTGACTCTCGGCGATGGAATATCTTTTTGGGCTTTGCTCTCTTTTTGGTTGATGGTTGAGCGGACGCAGAGTGGAGGGAACAGTACTACCTTGCCTCGGCTTCACCACAACCGCGTCGCGGATGATCAAGGTCTGCGGCGTTCACCTGAGGGTACGCGCAAGAGGAGCATCCAGCAGCGAGGCTTACGGACAAGAGGTGGTGGCGACGAAGAAGTATTCCACACATGTCACCGGCCGGCTGGACACGCCTGAGCGTACGCGTATAAGGAGCGTCCAGCAGTGAAGTTTACGGACAAGAGGCGGCGATGACAACGAAGCATTCGGTAGCAAGCAAGCAAAGTGCAGTCACCAAACTCCCAATTCCCACAAACAAGCGCAACCGCGCCCGCAGTCTACTTTATACATCGCAAAACCCAGCCTACTCAGCATCGAAACAATCCGTCGTGGCGCAGTGCTAGCCCGCCGGACCGCAAACTGCTCTGACCGGCTAAGGTGTGGCGGGAGGGAGCCCCATTGGAAGCTTTGGGAGCTTATGGTTGGTCTTAGTATCTGCAGCATGTCTGGAGGCCCGAGTTCGATTCTCGGCGATGGAACATCTTTTTGGACTTTGAGAGGAAGAGGAGGAAGGTTGTTTGTTTTGTCGGTGTGGGCTCCCGGCCCTCATGCCAGCGGATTGGTACCTCATCCACGCGCCACGATGGCCTGGCTGCACGACGGATTTCTCAAGCGATGGCCACTCGCGGTATGCCCTGGCGGACCGCAGCTGGGCACACGGAGCACTTTTTTCTCAACACCACTACATCTGGAGAGCTGTCTTTCGTTACCACGGTTGCACATATGGAGCATTCGTTTCCCGACACGACTGGGCCTAGGGAGCTTTCATTGTCAACTGCCGCCTGGTACATCAACAGCACGACGTCATCATGAAGAGCAGATGTTGGCGCTCAGAAAAAGGTTCATTGAGCTACCTGGTATATTTTGGACGTCCAACCGCAGCCCATTTCTCGTCGGCAGCCTCTGCAATCACTTCTTTGCCATGATCTTGGTGGCCTTTGTCTTTGAAACCGCAACGGAGCCATTAGCGCTGCTGTCCTCCTCCACCCGCTTCCTCTTTCCGTTCACCAACGCTCGTGGCAATGTTGGAGCCCTGCCGTGGGCCGTGGCCCTTCCCTCAGCGTTGGTCTGGCCGGCGGCCTCTGCAGCTGCGATGTTCCTGAGCTCCTCTTGATACCAGGCCTCGACCTTAGCCATCTGACACGCACGCTCCTTTTCATACCAGACCTCGACCTTGGCCATCGAATGTGCACGCTCACGGTCGATGACGCTCTTTGTCCGGGTGTACCATCCGCAGTAGCCGGGAGGCGGGTGCAGGTTGACGAGCGCGGGCATCCCGTATCCCAACGCCTTCGCAAGATCTTCAAGAGCATCGCGGGACTTGCCTGTATTTCCAGAATTGTAAGCAGATGGTTGCTGGTGTCATGAGAGGGTGCTATTCTTACGCATTTGGTCGTTCGCGAAAAGGCTGTGCCTATATGTTGGTGTTTGGAGTTGGCGGGCGGTGGGTGGACGGCGCTCTTACACCCGCTCCTCGCCGCTGGCGCACCCTCCTCTTCCACTGCCGACCAGGATAAAGTAACACAGACTCCACATTTGTATCAATCTCAGAAGATGGGAAACGACAGGGAGCATTCATGCCCATTTGGCCACAAGAGATGCCATTATTTCAGGCATATACCGCCCGATATACTTGCCCAACCGCCAGCGTCGAAGACGGCAAAAGTCTCACCACTCAGGGCTTCAATCCTTCCTATAGCAGTATTTACAAGAAATTGGGGCCAAGAGGGCAGCGGCTGCCGCTGAGGTTATTTCGACAGTCGACGACAAATAGACGCCTTGCAAACTCCACGGCAAACGGCTTGGACGCAGTCTTTTTCATAAATAGGGATTGCAACCAAAAAAACATCGTCCAGGGCCGCAATATGGTACATCAAAGTCACGACGGAGTCATATGGGGAGCAAACGGTTGCGCTCAAATGGTCATTGAGCTACGCGGTAGTGGGCGTGAAGCCACGCGAATGTCCTGGGCAGTAGCCCCCATCATTCCTTCGCCTTCTTCGACACTGTGCTAGAAATGCCGTCCTCCTCTTCCTCATGCTTTCTCTTCTCCCTCTGTATCTCCGGTCCCTCCTGCAAATGGGCGCCCTCAGGCATCGTCTGGGTGGCAGCGTCCTGCTTGCCGATGGTGTTCGATGATGTCGGATACATCACCTGGCTCGAGGTACCAGATGGCACCTCGGCTTCTGGTGCCTGGGAGGCCGTTGACTTGAGGCCCGTTGGAGGAGTTCTACCCTGGTCCAACTGCTTTGGCGACCTCGACCTGGCTTGATTTTCAGCCTGAGGAGTCGGCGCCTCGGAGACTGCGGGCTGGGCTTGAGCATGATCTAAAGCTGGCGCCTTGGGGACTGTTGGCTGGGCTTTAGTATTGTTCTGAGATGTAGTGGTCTTGCTGGAGATTGCGGTAGAGTTCAAGGGAGGGTTGTTGTTGTGGATTTTTGGTGTTTACGAGAGGTCAACCATTACTGGGCTGAGCTCCTCGCCGTCTTCCATGATCAGCTTAGCGTCACTCGGTTCTATGCGCCGCTAGTTTTGTCCGCCATTCCTGTTCTACGCCCTCCACCGTCTTGCCAACATCGTCAAGGTTACGCAACCACAGACCAATTCACGCGATCATTTACTTACGAATGCACAGATGCCACCGCACTCACCATCTCGACAAGAAGTCAAATCGAGTCCAGCGGCCAGTGAGTTTCTCACGTTTGGGTCGCGTCGCATCGCTTGGTGTTGAGCTCAACTAACATGATCCAAGACACCACGAGGCCTGGCCAACCTCAACGTAAGTTCACTCTACGTCCTTTTGAATCATCTGCTCATGCCGCAAAGCAGAACAAAACCCTGGTGCGCTTGATGGTCCACCTGCTGCCGCGCCCGTTGGTGCACAGCCCTCTCCAGCTGACGCGAAGAAGCCGCCTGGAAAGCTCCCTACCCCTGAGGATCTCAGTAAGCATCCCATTCCTCTACATGTTTGGTTTTACAGCGGCTATTCTTCGACCGCCAAGACTGATTCGTGAGCCAGTTTGGGAAGCACTTGCCCATACTGGATCCCCACATGCCAACGGAATCGGTTGCGTTGGAGAATTAGCGGAGGATAAAGAGGGAGAGGTTGCGAATCGTGGATGCCTGTAGGGAACACTTTCGTGCACTAGAAGCCCGTAGGCAGTTGGAGCAGGGTCAAGCCCATCCGAAAGTCCCCAAGCAGTCGGAGCAGGGGAAAGCCCATCCAAATTTCCTCAACTCAACGGTCCCCCAGGCGCCCTCTGGCACCTCGAGCCCTGGCCAACCTCAAAGTAAGAACAGCCCACGTCCTTTGGGAATATCTTCTCATGTCGCGAAGCAGAACAAAACCCCGGTGCGCCTGCTGCTGCGCCGGCTGCTTCGCAGCCTCGCATGACCACCACCCAGGAGCGTCGTAAGTATCCCATCTCTTGACTTTGACAATCGAAGCACTGTCTAATACGTTTGATCTTCTAGAGGTCGCCCACGACGGCATGAATTGCTACGCGAGAGGGAAGGGGGTAGACTTGCCCTTGCTTCCCACGCTATTCCCACTCCAGGATGACCCGGCTCAGCTCGCTGCGTGGAAGCGGATACGCGATGAAAGATCGCGTATAGTCATGCTCCTGAGGGAACAAGAGCGTGAAGCTGGACAGTCGTCCCCCAAGCCGACGCCGCCCACGACGACAGCCCCGGTCCCCCAGGCCCCGGCCATCAAGCGGCCATCTGGTTCCTCGAGCCAGTCCGCCCAAGCTCAGGCTCAGACACCCAAGCGGCCTCCACCGGGCGAGTCCGCCTTCCCATACCTAACTCCAAGCATCGGGAAGCCCCCTATTGAGGAATTCGAGACCGCTCCACCGCCGACTGCACAGGCCTACAAGCCTCAAGCAAAGCCCAGTGCATCACTGGAGCAAGGCAAGCCAAACGACGTCCCTGTTGAAGCACAGGGACAAGTCAAGCCAAATGCCACTGTTGAAGCACAGGGAGAAGGCAAAGCCAAGTGCGTACCTCTGGACTACCACTCTGCAGAACAGGGCCGCGGCAACGCCAGATATCAAGGCAATCAGCAAGGTTGTGGTGCTGGACTGAGCCGAAAAGACGCAGCGGCGAGCGATGTAGCTACTTCGAGTGCTGACATGAACAAGTGTTCGATAGCTAATACCGGGCTTGAAAGCATCTAGCAGGAGTCAGCTATATCGGCTACAGAAGCCTCGACAGGTTACGTGGAGAATCTTGCCGATTCGGGTGGTCCAAGGAAGAAGCACAAGGCGACCCTCTATTCCTCTTCGAGCGATTCCAACGCCGCTCCATGTCTACTTCCACCCTCTAAGCCCGAACCGCCAATGCTTGGACCGTCTAGTGACTACGCTACCGCTTGTGAGGGACGCAGTGTCACTACGCAGACTCTGGACACCAATGGCATTGCGCAAACATTTTTCATGGGTAATCCATGCATGCCGGTGTGTGCGAGCCACAACTTTCCACCCTACCATTGTCCATATCCCGAAGAGGAATGTGGGCTTCCACATGATGTTCCAGATGACCAGCTTGACATTTGGAAGACAACAAACTTCATTTTTGTTGCGCAGATGCGGGCGGACAAGGCGGTCCGCGACTCAATGTGCCGCTTGAAAGAGCGGTAGGAAGCTGCTGCTGCCAAGAAGTCTCCCATGCAATGAACACAGCACCGTACAGATGTGTCGGAAGAGAGCAAAAATGCCTTCGACTTGCTCCCGAGAGATCCGGATTCGGACGGCGCTGCTGAAGAGCAGACCGCTGCAAAGGATGGCGCTGCTGAAGAGCAGACTGCTGCAAAAGATAGCGCTGCTGAGGAGCAGATTGCTTTGAAGGATGGCGCTGCTAAACAGCACACAGCTGCAGAGGACGGCGCTGCTGAAGAGCAGACAGCTGCAAAGGACGATGCCGCGGCAAAGCCTACCTCTGGAGGATCGTCCTCGCTCTTGTCCTACCCGATGTCAGTCTCTACCAAGAGGCTCAAATGGGCTTTAGATGGTGTCGATGCAGCTGATCAGACCAGTGAGAATGCCACTGGTATCCTCAAGGAAGAAGATAAGGATGAAGAGGATGGTGCTATTGCGGTGGATGAGAAAGTGGAGGGATGATGGGGCTGGGCCTTTTCCCTCCAGCCGAATAGCATGAATGAACAACGATTGATTTCTCGCGCAACTGACTCCGTAATGCATATCACTGATGCCACTGACTCGTTTTCCCTCGGGTGGGATCTACACTCTCATTTTCCAGCATGGGAAACGCAAACCAACCCATTTGACGAGGCTCGTCTGGTCAGAATAACATAGCCTCCAAAATCACTCACTGAACCAGCAGAGCGGGTGAGCTCGCGGGATGCTCAAGAAACAGGGCCCGAGCCTAAAGCAAACGAATAGCAATATTAGACGCCGAGAAGCAGGGAAAGAAAAGATATCCCTCCCGCGAAGACGAGCTCAAGTGAAACAGACAGCTC